GTGATACTTGCTTCCAGGAATGAATTTGGAAGTATTGCTTCCCTTTCAATTTCATTGAAGAGTTTGAAGAGTAATGGCAGTAGTTCTTCTCTAAATGTCTTGTAAAATTCAGCTGTGAATCCATCAGGACCTAAGCTTTTCTTTGTTGGGAAATTTTTAGTTACATTTTCAATTTCATTGATTGTAATTGGGGTGTGTAAAATGTTTTTATCTTCTTTGTTCAACTTTGGTAATTCATAAGTATGTAGAAATCTGTCCATTTCTTTTATGTTTTCAATTTTGTTACAGTACAGGTTCTCAAGGCAGGTATTGATTATCCTCTGAATTTCTGTTGGATCTGTTGTGCCTTCGCCTTTTTCATTCCTATTTGCATGGATCTAGTCTTTTCTTTCCTTTTTGTGATAAGGTTAGCTAAGGGTTTATCTATTTTACTTATTCTTTAAAAAACCCAACTCTTCAATTCATTTATTTTTTGTATTATTTTCTTTTTTTTCCAGCTTTAATTGAGTTTATTGGTACATTTTAGGGATACAGTATGTACAGTTACATTCATTGTTGGGATCTTGTACCTCTACATGATAAGTCTTGATTCTCATTTTTTCCCCTTATCCCTGCCCTCCCTTCACCCCCTCCTCCCCTCTCCATCTACAAATACTTTATTTCCATCTTTTCATTATCTCACATTTTTTTCTTTTCCCTTATTACCCTTTCCCCGCGCATCCCACCTTCCCTACACCTTTAGCTCCTTTATTCCCATTTCTAAATGTCAGTAATCTTATTAGTATCTTATGTATTATTTTCTTAGTTTCCATTTCATTGATTTCTGGTCTTATCTTTACAATTTCCTCTCTTGTACAAGCTTTGGGTTTTTCTTGCTCTTGTTTTTCTAGGAGTCTAAGATTCATCATTAGGTTGTTTATTTGAGCTCACTCTGTATTCCTAATGTGGGAATTCATTGCTATGAATTTTCCACATAGAACTGCTTCCATTCTGTCCCATAGATTCCTGTATGTTGTATTGGCATTTTCATTTATTTGGAAAAACTCTCTCATTGCTTCTTTAATTTCCTCTGTGATCCATTGATTATTCAGGAGAGTGTTGTTCAATTTCCATGTGTTTGTGAAGTTCCTACAGTTTCTTGTGCTATTGATCTTGAGCTTGATTGTACTATGATCTGATAATATACAGGGAATAACTTCAATTCTTTTGCATTTATTCACACCTGTTAGCTAGTATGTGATCTATCTTGGAGAATGACCCATGTGCAGATGAAAAGAATGTATATTCTGATTTTGTGGGGTGGAACACTCTACAGATGTCTATTAAGTCCATGCTTTCAAAAGCTTGGTTGAGTTCCAGTATTTCATTGTTGAGTTTTTGCCTAGATGATCTATTTATGAAATTGGGGTATTTAAATCCCCCACTACAATTGTAGAAGTGTTTATTTTGTTTTTCATGTTTCTTAATATTTCTTTTATATAGCTGGGGACATTAATATTTTGTGCATATATATTTATGATTTTCATCTCTTCTTCTTGAATTGTTCCATTTACAAGGATGTAGTGACCTTCTTTGTCTCTTTTAATCAGTTTTGGTTTGAAATTTACTTTGTCTTGGAATGAGATTGTTTTTTTCTGAGCTCCTGTTGCATGGAGAATTGTTTTCCATTCTTTCACTTTCAGTCCATGGGCTTCTTTTTGCACTAGGTGTGTTTCTTGTGTACAACATATTGTTGGGTTTTGCTTCTTAATCCATTCTGCCAATCTATTTCTCTTGATTGGTGAATTGAGGCCATTGACATTGATGGTTATAACTGATATGTACTGACTTATTATTGTCATATTATTGGCCTTTTGTTGACTCTTTTTACTTTTTCGCCTTCTCCTTTTAGTTTCTTGCCTTGACTATTTGATTTCCTCTGTTGGGCCTCATGGTGTTGTTACCTTCATTGTCTTTTTCTAGGATATTGTTTAGAATTACTTGTAGTGCTGGTTTGGTATTCATGTAGTTTCTCAAGTGTTCTTTGTCATGGAATTATCTCATTTCCCCATCCACTTTGAAAGAGAGTTTTGCAGGATACATCAGACTAGGTTGGAGGCTGTTTTCTTTTAGGACTTGAAATACCTCACTCCAGGCTCTCCTTGACCTAAGGGTTTGTGTTGAAAAGTCTGCTGTGATTCTGATGGGCTTTCCTTTGCATGTGATTTGTTTCTTTTCTCTTACTGCTTGTAGTATTTTGTTCTTCTGTTGGGTTTCTGGGATCTTGATTATTATATGTGTAGGTGTAGATTTTTTTATTGTGGCTAGTTGTAGTACTATATGCCTCACTTATCTGTATGTCAAAGTCTTCCCCATTGTTTGGGAAGTTTTCTGTCATTAATTCTGTGAATAGATTTTTTAAGTCATATGTATTTTCTCCTGCTAGTTCATGGATTCCTATCAGTCTTATGTTGTTCTTCTTTGCATCATCTAGGAGTTGTTGAATCAATTTCTCATGATCCTCTACTGTTTTTAAGAGACCTCTCTTTTCACGGTCACTGACTGCAATCCTATCTTCTATACCTGAGATTCTATCTTTGCATTCTTTTATTCTGTTGTGTACACTTTCAATGGAGTTTTTAATCTCCTGTATAACTGTTCAAGTCTGTTTAATGGATTCCATTACTTTCCTATGTTGGGCATTTATTGTTTCCATTTCTTTCTTATGCTGGGCCTTCATGGCTTCTATCATGGTCCTGAGTTCATCTATGTTTTTGTCAGTTTCTGTTCTAGATTCTCGAATCATGACTTTCATTTTATTCACCACCTCTATTGTTATCTGGGAAATTATTTCTGTTTTGAATTTTTCTAGAGCCTGATTGATCTGTTTTGTTACTTCCTGTGCTTTGAGTTAAGGGTGTCCTAGTGGTTCACTATCTGCCTTTTCATCCTCATTTGCCCTACTGTTTGTCATTGGTGAACTGGAAGTCTGTCTCTGTGTTTTGCTTAAGTTTTTTCTCATTTTTATTTTTGTTGTTGGGCTGTCCTTGGTTTAATCTCTGGTTTATCACCCAAATCTTCCTGATATAGTTGCGCCCTAACTTCCGGGTCTCTAACGACCCATAGACATTCTCATCTTCATAACATCAGAGAAAACAGCTCATCATATCAACTACAATCCTTTATCCCAACTGATACAATCAGAAACACAATATGATTAAGCATAACTTGTAAATTTACCACCTGTGGTATTCACTAGTCTATCACCCTTACACCATGTGAATTAAAATAAACAAGCAGCCCGAAACATGTGTGCAGTGAACAAACTTTTCAACATAGCATATTTACCACTTAGGATGGGGGCTCAGATAGAGCTAGAACGAGAGAGTAGATAAGTAAAAGAATTGGAGAAGCTTTCAAGTGAAGCCAGAGGACATAGAATGAGCACACAATCTTCAGGAAACTGTTAAATTCAAAAGAGATAGACAGAGTAGAAGTATAAGGACAAGAATATATCCCCTTAACAGTCATAGGGGCTCACTTTCCCTTGAAACCACTGATCCCTGTGTGATGTAGAATGACAGATGAAAACAACATAAAGAAAAGAGAAAAAATGATAAAAGAAGAAATCTGAGTTATGGCAGGAGCAGAAACAGAAAGGGAGATGAGGGATATTATGGTGGAGCAAGAGACTGAGTTGGAGAGAGAGGTCAGAAAAAAGAAAGAATTTGCAGAGTGGAATGAGGAAAAGAAAGAAAAAAAATGATTTTAAGGGCTTCTTTCAGACTATATCTCTGCTGTCATAATATACAACATGCGCAACTATGTGCAGAACCAAGACCCTTGATCTCAGCTAGCTGATGGCAGAACCCAAAGACACAGACTGACCTCTGGCTGCAAGGCCCAGATTGAGTTCCTTGACCTCCTGAAGGGTTGAACTCCACACAGTTCTACTACAGGTTTCCCATGCCCTTTCTTTAAAGATGTTCAAAGTTGGGAGCTCAGAAAAATACCCTTTATGACCTCCTCTGCCTCTGCACAGTAGTCCCAAAGACTGGCACAATCAGGAGGGCTGAGACTGCATGGGTGGGTGGGTTTGGGGGTGTTCGGGGAACCTGCACAGCTAACTTCCTGGTGTTGGAGCTATGGTGGTGGCCCGGCAGGGGAGGGCATGGCTACCCATCCCATGGACTGGGCCCAAGCAGGCCCTCCTGGCACTGTGTGATGGCTGCGGCCAGCAGTTTCTTAATTTAATTTTTTTTTTGGTACTGGGGCTCAAACTTGGGTCCTTGCACTTGCAAGGCAGGCAGCGGAACCACTGAGCTTAATCCCCAGCCCTTTCTTAATTTAATTTGATATCTTGATGTTAATTTAACATCTATTCACCATATGTCCCGGGGTTCCTATCCTAGGTATTTATTCACATGAAATGAAAACTTAGGTTCAGACAAAAACCTGTGGATTAGCATTTGTAGGGGCTTTATTCTTATCTCCTAAAGGTGAAAACAACTAGTATATATTTTCACTGACCAATGGATAAACAAATTGTATTGATTGGAATATTACTCAGTAATAAAACAAAGAAACTACTGATTAAGGCAATAAAGACAAACCATAAGTGTATTTTTCTAAGTGAAGGAAACCAGGTACAGAAGCTACACACTACAGGATTACATTTACATGACATTCTGGAAATGGCAAAAAAAATTTTCCTTTTAGGTTGGAGCCAGGGGAAAGAGTCACAGTAGATGAGCTTGGGAACTTAGTGGGGAATAGAATGGCTCTATACCTTGATTGTGGTGTACTCTGCTTGCTGCAGAACTATGTACCACAAACATTGAATTTTACTGTATATGAGTTATGCTTTAACAAAAGCTTTTAAGTAATATTGCTGCTTCACATGATCTAGTTCTGTTTCAGCTAGGATTCTGACTTGGTTTCCCTGCTATTGGGACCTCCTTTTCTTGTCTTGAGGAACAGGCTGTTTTTCTGATCTGTCTGCCTCTCATCCCCTTCCTCAGGGTGCACTCTGCCTCTGCTGATAGACCTTGGATCCACCAGGCATCCTCCTCCTCTGCACAGCCTATGACCAAGACTCGAAGTGGGCAGTGTTAACCAAGTGTGCTGGAGAGACGGCAGGTCTGTGCCTTGGCAGTGTCTGTAGCAGGGAGTGCCTGCACCTCACTTCGAGCATGTGCAACAGCCTGGGGATCAATGCATGACAAATACAAGTTTTGTTTTATGTGACTTTCCATATTTCCCCCTAAATATTTTCAACCCTCACTTGGTAAAGTTTGAGGATGAATAACCCAGGGATACAGAAGGCCAACTGCATTAGACTTCAAATAAACACACAAGTAAGCTTGCTCTAAATCAGACACCATATCAAATTCTAGCAGTAATAGGCCATATAAATACTAGCAATGCAAGAAAACATTAATAAACAAAAAATAAAAATGAGAAGTTTATGACTAACCACTTTTTCCTGTTTCAGCAGTGTAATGTCTCTATTTCCCCTCTCCTTAAAACAGAAGCAGAACTGGGTAAACAGTGAAGTCCTGATACTGTATGTTATTATGGCTGAAACTTACTGGATTATTGTCATAGATAAACTTTGCAGTAGGGCATAATGAGATAATTATATAATTCATTTTCAAAATGGGGGGCTATTACTAATGGGGTATTACTAATGATTCTTCCAGGATATCAGATGTAAAGTAGAACTACATAGTAACCCTACTTCTGTGGCACAGATATACTTATAGGTATGCAATAATTATTAAGATGTTGTTTTTGAGCCTCAAACCTACCTTTGTATATTCTGTGGTGCTGGACATGGTATTCTGCAACCTAGGTTTCTGAGATGCTCCTTGTTAGGCTCTGCCAACAGGAGATAGCAGAGGAGACACTTGCCATGGACTTCTCTTCTGCATGTGGTTCCATGTCATGTCTTAGAAAAACGTTTTTCGCTCTGCAAGTGGCAGTTTCCCCTTGCAGCAGCAGATGATTTCAGTCTGCAGTTTTCCCTAGTTGCAGAAAATGCCTGTGATTGAATGGTGTCCCCCAAAAGTCATGTTCTCCCAGAACCTCAAAATATGATTTTATTTAGAAATAGGGACTTTGCAGATGATATTAGTTAAGATGAGGCCATATTGCATTAGAGTAGTCCCTAAATGCAGTGATGGCTGTCTTTATAAGAAAGATTATGAAAACCCTCCTTGATCCCTCAAGCAATTATCATCTGCTTTCCACAGTCCGAGCTTCAGCTCTGTGGGCTCTTCCTCCAAGCTTATTTAATGACTAAAACCTTGTACTTTTGCTCCCACTGTCCTAGAGGTAGTTTTTTTTTCTTTTAGCTGCTACCTTCATAATACTTCAAAGTCCTGTTTTCACCCCATTTATTGCCTCATTTACTCAAAAGTTACTTACCTTAAATTTTTTCTACTCAGTCTTCATTCTGGATTGATTTCAATGGATATAAACTTCATGATGCTCTTTCATTATTAATTCCCAGTGAAATCATACTCTGTGTTCCCTCCTGCCATGTGGCCACATCTGATTCTTCTTGGATTTTTATTGTGTATCTATGTAACTATCTATCTATCTATCTATTTATTTATTTTGGTACCGGGCATCAAACTCAGGTCCTTGTGCTTATGAGGCAGGCGCTGGAACCACTGAGCTAAATCCCCAGCCCTCTTCTTGGTTATTTCTCTTCCTCATCCCAACCTCTTAACCTTCCAGGCTTTAAGGCTGCAATCCTCTCCTCCTCTTCATCTTCTCTGTCCTTTTCTCTTTTCTTCCCACACTGACTTGCTTTGTGGTTTCATTCACTCTTATGCCTTAAAATTCAGCTACATGCTGTTGGCTTCCGAGTGTCTACCATTAGCCCAGTCTTGTGTGTCCTGAATATCTGCTCTGTACTCAGCTAGCTCTATGGTTAATGTCTAATAGACACTAAATGTTGTATGTCCATAAGCTGAGTTCTCCGTCCTTCTCTGCACCACCCCCTTTTACCTGCTGCTTCTGTTACCTACCCCACCTCTGCTGGTGGACTACTTTTCCTCATGCTTCCTCTCTTATGCTTCTACCACAGAGTAATAAAAGGGGAGAAGCAGGTGAGCTCAGAAAGGTAACAGAGTCAGACAATGGACACTGGTAAGGACTTTGGTTTTACTAAGAGAGGGGTGTGATCTGACTTAATTTCAAGAGATTATTCTGCCTACTATGCTCAGGATGGAATCGAAAAGGACAAGGGAAGAAGCAGAGACATGCAGTGGGGGGCTGCTCCAGTAATTCAGGTTGTTCAGACAGAGGTGGGGAATAGCAGTACTCCACAAGTTGGGTGTATTGCTTGCCAGTGTTGAATACTGAGGACCTAGAACCGTGCCTGATACAGAGTGGAAAGTCAGTCAATATCTATTGAATGTGGGAGGAACAAATGTTTTTATAAATCACCAAGAGAAGCTCAAAAGACTATATATATACATATATATTAAATATGAGTACACAAAAATGAGTTCAGAAAGTAATGAAATTTTTCCAGAAATGACTAAGTAATCTAACATGAAACAATCCAACATTTGACTTCTTAAGGAAATCAGTAAGCAGTCCAAAATGAAATGATTAACACATTTTGAAGTACTCCAACTCAAAAACAGGGTGTTAAAATGTTAGGATTATAAACCTTTGTCTAATTGCAACAATTTGTGATAATACATAATACATGGTTGCTCTTTTGGATTCTAAATGTTTAATGTACAGTAATATTTATTAGTATTTCCTTGATTTTATTCCACAGTTTAGGAAGTGCTAACATAGAATAATGGACTAATACAAGATCCATATTTTTTATATATATATGTGTATATATATATATACACACACACACACACACACACACACACACACATACACACACAATTTATAATTCACAGTCAAATAATACCTTATAATTTTCAATTACATTTTTTTTCTCAGTACCAGGGATTGAACTCAGGGCCTTGTGCTTGCAAGGCAGGCATGGTTCCACTGAGCTAAATCCCTGGTCTTTCAATTATAGATTTATTTGATACTGTGTCTGGTGATTAAGAATTGATTACATAAAATATAAAAGTAAAACTTGAAAACTCATTAAGGAAGTAGTTTTCCTAATAGAAGTAAGTTTTGTAATGATCTGTTAAAATTGATCACTTTAAAAATAATGTTTTATTCTCAAAATCTGTAAGCTATCTGCAGACCCTTTTAAAGTTTACATTACACCTCAGTCTGAAAAAAATCAAATTTTAAGTAAAGGTCACTCACATTGAGTTTGTACAACAAAGTAAACAAATATTGAAGATATCTATTTTCCAGTTGCTTTTTCTAGAATGTTTTTCTGCACAGATCAGAAGGAACCTTTTTTTAGGGCTCATGACCCATAATTCGCAGAGGATGAGAAATCAGGAAGAGATCATGGGATATGAAAGTTGCTTTCTTGTTTTAAAAAAAGTAATAATGAAGACAGACATGTACTTCAATAATAATAATAATAACTAAGAAAATACTTTCTATAATGTGATGAAATGAGAGTGATGTCCCTTTTGTAGAAATCAAAGAGGACAGAAAGAGAAAGATAAGCCAAAATAATTTAGATGAAGAGGGCAGGGAATTTAGCTCAGTTGCATAGCACCTGTCTGGCAAGTGTGAGGTCCTGAGTTCAATTCCCAGTACTGGAAAAAAAGTGCTATGAAGAGAATGTGTGAATAGACTCAGCAGAATGAAAATATGCCAGATTAGTGGTGCAAATAACAATTACAGAACTTGTTCTAGAAAAGCGTTTTAACTTTATTTTTATGTAAAAATTCTAAGTGCACATGTTCTTGAAATTTTACCATTTAGAGGAGAAAATATCTTTCCCATCCTATACAAATGAAATAGTTATACTTTATAGAGAAACAATTTTACATTGGATAGCCTTTCTGTCATTTTCTTTTCTTCTGTGATACTGTGGTTTGAACACAGAGCCTTCACACTGAGCTACATCCCCAGCTCTTCTTTGTGTCATTCTGAGACAGAGCCTTGCTAAGTTGCTAACTTGCCCAGCTTTATATTCTTGTATTCTTCTTGACTCAGCCTTCCAGAGTACTAGGGTTACAGATATATGCCACCATGCCTGATCCATCATTCAACCTTTTAGGATGTGAAAGATTGTGTCCTAGTTTCAAGCTAAAGGCTAATATTATCTCTTGCTACTTGACCTTGAGATCAAAAAGATATAAACTTTGACTCTGACATTCTCATCCTAAAGCAAATGGAGATAACTTATTCATTTGGTTAATGAAATGGTGGTGAAAAACAATGACCTAGTTGTTTAGCATTGTGTAGACAAAGAAGAGGTTGGTAACTTATGAGCTATCTGCTGGTGGTGTTGCTTGCACCTAAGCCTCGTTTTATTGGCTTCAGAGGATTCGCCTGAGTTCTACAACCAGTGATTCACAAAGGAGGGAAATAATCACTGGCCGTCTTTCTTAGCTTTTTGATGATCTTTGTGAATTTATGATGACACAACCAACCTTTTTGCTATCAGGAATAGGATAAGCAAAAGAACAATAAATGTTATAGAAGGGTTTTCCAAGTCTTAACTATGCAGGGTGTTGCTGCATATGACTTTGACGCATAAAGTTTGCTCTTGTGGGAGGGTGAAAGAAAGTAAAGGAAAGCAGTTGGATTGTTTACATATGTGTTCATAAATATTCTGTTTTTCCTTTTCTATCCCAACCTCAGAAGAGCATTCATGCTCCTGAGGTTACAAGAAACTTGCCATTTACTGTATAAATAGTGTCTGAGATCTGAGACCTGAATTATCTGCCCGTCTCACTTTGGAGATCTGAGAGTGGTTATAGGAAAAACACTAATGAAATTTGAGTTCATTTCATAGTCAGTTCTATGGCTTGATGCATGCTATGTGTTAAACTGTGCCCCTTCCAAAAACTACACTGAAGCCCAGCCCCTGTTGCTTGTGAATGTGACCTTGTTTGGAAGTAGAGCCTTTGCCTACTTGATTCAGTCAAGTGCATATGAGATTGTTAGGGTGGATTCTAATATGATTGGTATCCTGATAAGAAGAGGAAAATCTGGACAGAGACGTACAGAGAGGGTGTCATGTGACAACAGAGGCAAGAGGTTCAAGGAGTCTAGTTCTCTAGAGGAATAACTGCCCCCAGCATTTTTAATCACCTATCAATGGTAAATGACGCCCACCTATACCAACTAACAAAGCATTTTCTAACACACATATCACACAGGACCTGCATTTGTATTTCTTGAGACTTTTAGGAAGGGAATGCTGCAGAACAGAAGCTGTGGGGTTATGTGGAAACTATGAGAAAGGCTGGCTTGGGCACAGGAAGCAGAGGGGGAAGAAAAGGAGGCCCCTTATCTTGAACTCAAGGGTGGGGATGTGATTTGTGTCTCACTGGGATGGATTAGATGAGGGAACAGTGTTTCTTAAATATGCTTGATGGCACAGAGCCAGTAGGAATCCTCTTAGGCAGAACCAATGTGTTTGCGTATGCTGTTAGTAGGCAAGGCACCCTCTCGAGCAGAGCACGACCTGAGGAAGTATTAGTCAAATTTTGCAGTCACCTGGGGTGTGTGGAGTTAGCCTGTGGGGCTGGACAATCAAGAGCAGCCCCATGAGCCTCTGACATGCGATTGTGCTGATGTACACATAGGATTCCGGTCTGTGAGGATGGTGTGGGTGTGTGGTATGGGGCAGGTGGGGCCTGGCAGTGGCCAGCACCAGCTTTGCCACACAGCTCTACAGTTCTTATCTGTCCTCCGTATGAGCATTCTATGGGGAGTTTAGAAACAGGATCCTGGAAGCCAGGGGAGGATAAAACATATAGGAAAGTGGGCATAGTATTGCCATATTGGATCATGAGTGTCTGAGGTTCACCCCATGGCTCAGCAACTAAGAGGAACAAGATTCAGAGCATAATGGTAAGGCGGTCTCTGTGACTCTGGGTCAGTCCTAATACACCCGCCTCATTTAATTTATTTTTCTTTGAAGGCCTGTAAGTGATCAAATGAGATGATGTATATGAAATTTCTGTACTTTAGAAATGCTATGTCATGCCACACAGATGGCACACCAGGAGTGCATATCCTTGAACACCAGAGGGCCGAGAGTCCTTGATCAGTGAAGACCTTTTCTTGTCCACCTTTAACCAGGCTGGCTGAGTTTGCACCCCATTCTATCCTATAATGTCAGTGTAATTTCTCTATCATATTGTATTTGTGGGATACTCCACTGAGTGGAAAATCCCTTAATGTGAGAGCTGGAGCCTTCAATTTCCGTGTGCTTAGAGCCTAGGAATGACCTACACTGCACTGTGCAGCAGGTACGAAATAGCCATGTGGCGGATGAGTAAAAGAACAGACCCCAGGATTTCCTTGCTCACATAGACTCCAAGGTGAACCAGAGCATGATCCCTGTCATGGTTTCTATCTTGATGTTCCCCAAAATCTCATGTGCTCACAGGTGGAGCTTTTGAGAGGTGGTTGGCTCTCGGGGACATGATACTCAGCAGTGGATGAGTCCACTGACAAGCTTATCCCTAAATGTGATGTTGGGAGGTGGAGCCTGACCCACAGAGAGCTGGAAAGGCACATCTCTTTCCCCGCTCCCGCCTGACTCTCCCTGCTTCCTGTCTGCCATGTCCTGAGCGCTCTCCTCCCCACTGCCCTTATGCCGCAACAGTCTGCCTTGGAGCAGCCAACTATGGACTAAAATGTGAGCCAAAAATAAACCTCTCCTCCTTTAATTTGTAGGGGTCTGCTATTGTGTCTCACCAACAAAGAAAGTAACTAAGATAGTTCCTTCCCTTAGAGAACTTGGAGCCTGATGGGGTGGGTGGATAATTTCTGGCTTCTCATTTGATCATTGCTTTGTGGCCAGATCAGTTCTCATCATTGGTGTAATATTCAGTAGCCCACTTGGGAGGGATTAGACTAAATAGTTCCTCCTGCTCCCCAGTAGCTAACTTATATACCCAACCACTGAGCTTGAAATTCCACAATAGATGCATTTCACTGGACTAGGCAATTAAGAAAGAAATAACTCAGCAAAAGGGAAAGTACTTTGCGTCTTTAGCCATCTATTTATCTGCTGTGTGTGAATTAGTTCAGCAGCTGTTTTCCCAAATGACAACAAAGGAAGTTTTATTGAAAGAGAACACACCTAGTCTTCAGTGGTTGCCTTGATTTCTTATGCTGTTGTTTCTAATGTACCAATTTGTACTCCCCTCCCCACTCAGCTCCCCCCAACCCCTGGCAGGAAACCAGCACCCAGAAGTATTATGTGCCAACAGGATCCTGGGCTGGACACAGACAGCCAGATAGATGAATGTTCCTGGTGTCTCACTTTGTAGATGGCTCTGTAGGGACTTGTGCACCACCAAAACTCCTTGGTTCTCAAGCTGCACCTTCATTGAGCTGCAGAGCTCTAGTGGGGGTGTTCAGGGAGTCCCTGGTGCCTTCCTTCTAGAAGCTACCAGCAAGGGCCACACAGGGGAGAACATCCTCCGAGGACAAAGCTCTGAGGATTTCATCACAGTGCTTCTGAGCTGTTGAAGTAAACAAAGGCTGCTGCCTCCAGAGCCATCACAGGGAACCTCACAAAATGAATATTTCTGAGTAAGAAGTGGGCAAAGGGGAAGGAGAAAATATATCATTTCCAGGCAGTAAGGCAAGAGGAGAACAAGCTTGAGGAGCTCCATTTCCTCCTGCATGGACATCTCTGTGAGTTAACTGAGGTCCACACAAAAGTGTTTTGCTGTAATCAATGTAATATGAGTGAAGTAGACTTGATACATCTGCCTATACTTTTAAATTGCATTAAAGGCCTGCCTACAAATATGCTAATCACATTGCTGTGATTCCCTCAGAGAGGATAGGGAAATAGACATCTTTGTGAAGCTTTTCTTTGAAGACTAAGCCTCAGGTTGGGTCACTAGGTGACAGCAGTAAACACCAGGGAGCCTTGGGTGACACTGTGCTCAGCCCTGACTCCCAGGCCCCACTCTTCTCTGGCTAATACTCATTTCTCCCTTTGAAAAGGGAAACCACCAGCATTATCAATGGATTCTATTAATAAACTATTTTCTTTTATTCTTGACTTTCAAGTAAACTAGACTTTACTTAGTGGATACCAGGAACTGAGTTTTGTCTTTGATGACATTGAAGGTTCGCAACAGCACTGTTACTTTCCATTTTTAACTAACGGCACACTGCTAGTAAGTGGCAAAGGCATCACTGGAACCCAGGTGTGTATCTGACTCAGAAGCCAGAACGCTGTTTATTTCCAATAACCTGAATCACTTTAATATGTCTGGGACACCTGTTTACTCAAGGGATGCTGCAGAGTTGTTTTTTTTATAATCTGGGAACAACTGTGCATTGTTCCACTGAGATAATGAGTGGAACATGTGACTGCGTTAGTTTTCTGCCTTTGGATGTAATTGCTCAAATCAAGATTGACTGGTTCTATAGCCAATTTAAAAGACAGAGGTACTTTTCTTACAGATTGAGTCTTACTCTTTGTCTTCTACTTCCAGGGTTATCAAGCAGAAGAAAAGATGCTACTCTTATTTTGTCCTAGTTCAGGTGAGAGAATGAATTTGAGGTGAAGAAGGGAAGGTAATTACAGTACTTATTAAGCACCTACTGGGTACAATTGAGTGCTGGATTTTTCTCTTTGATGCTCTGTTGGAACTGTCCCACCCCTTCCTCAAACCTGCCTTTAAAGACATTAAGTGCCTGCTGCGTTATTTTAAAGTTGTGTTCATTGCAAGTTGAATGTAGTCAGAATAACCAAAACAACATATGAACGTATGAACAAGCAGGGCACAGGATCTAGTGAAAGAAAAGGAAGCATGGCCAGTGATTAGGCAAATTGTGTTTTTAAAAAATCCTTGATGTTTTTTGTTATTGTTGTTATGTTTTGTTTTCTGAGGCAGGGTCTCACTATGTAGTTCAAACTGGCCTCAAACTCACAGTCTTCCTGCCTCAGCCACATGCTGGGATGATAAGCATGCAAAATGCTTGTAGAAATCATTGTAAGAAATCATTGTTTGCCACATGCCTTATGAGCGCAAGGTCCAGAGTTCGATCCCGGTACCCCTCCCCCCAAAAAAGTGTACAAAATACAAACATTTTTAAAAAATCATTGTTTGGATGCTACTAAGTTATATTCTTCCAGATATTGTCACTTCCTGTTAAAGTTCCGATGTGGTTTGTGTTCCATGGGCTCATGTGGAGTCTTGTCCCCAGTGTGGTGGTGTAGAGGTGGAGGATCAGTAAGTGGTGACACCTGGGGGAAGGTGTTAGGTCATGAAGGCATAGCCCTCAGAAAGAATTAATTTTGGTCTCAGGGAGCAAGCTAGTTTCTGTATGAGTTAACGCTGAGAAGAGCAGACCAGCCCCTCCCTGGTCTCTGACTTCCTGTCTTGCCATGCGGTCTCTTCTGCATGAACCTCTTTTCCTTCTGCCTCTCTGCCATGGTGTGATGCAACTAAGGGCTCTCTCTAGAAAGGGGAACAGATGGTGCCACCAGAACTTGGACTGTCAGCCTCCAAAACTGCAAGTTAAATTTTTTCATTTTCTTTATTAAATGCCCAGCTCTAGATATTTTGCTATGGCAATGGAAAAATGGACTCATTCACTTCCCTGCTTTGAACCTATCTCCGAATGAAAACCAAGGCCCATTCCATGGTCTTCAAAGTCCTTGATGATCTGTCTGTATCCACTTCCCTTGACAGTCTGTCCTTGACTCTGCTCAGCCACCTGGCCTCCCTACCATTCTCTATCTAAAGGTCTTTGCTCTTGCCATTCTAGAAGGATCTGAGCCCCTGGATAGCAGCATGGTTTATGCCTTGGCCTTGACCTAGCTTCTATTCAAGTGTCATATGCTCTGACTGTCCATCCCTGAGTGTCCTGCCTAGAGCAGCGTCACCTCCACACTCTGTGGCCCTGCATCATGCAGTGAGCCAGGTACTAGCCATGTGTGGTCAACTCTATTTAAATCATCCTGTTTTGGTGGACAGCACAGATGTAGGACATTTCTATCATCAGTGACTATTCTATGGGATGGAGCTTGCTATAGCCTGCTACCTGCTTTATTTTTATCTGTAGCCCTCACCACTACATGCAGTTCTTTCTCTTTTTTATTATCTGTCTTGTCCCTCACCCCAAAAAAGCTCTATGTAATCAGGGACTTTGTGTATTTTCTTCAGTCTCTGCTTTTCAGCTCCCAGAGGAGTGCCTGGCACATCATAAGTGCTTACTAGATGCTTGCTGAGTAAATGACTGGATCTTGTGGGCCCTCTCTTAATCTGGGGAGATAAGTAGAATCATTGAGGGAAGTCCCTCTTTTTCTGTTCTTCCCAGCCCCAGCAACTTTTCCAGAGGCCACTTCCTGCAGACAACACCATTTCTGGTTTTGCTTCTCTTTGAGTTTTCCTCAGGCATTTCCTAAATCCCAGTGAAAGAGGCATGGTTGACCACATTCATCCTGAGGGGCTGTTGCCACACTCACAAAGGGTCCCTTCCAAATCTGCTGCTGTTCTGTTTAAAGCATGGAGCCATCTGCCAGATGGTCATTGGTCACATCATGGGATAGAATGTCTTGCTGCTGTTAAGGGTAGAAATTGTATATGGCACTATTGGAGCTGATTATGCTTCTCAGTGCAGACAGTTTGGATGCTCCTCAGGCACCCGGGTTTCCCAAAAGATGGCAGGGCCAATTATGATTGGGAATGGAAATTCAGGAGCACCTCACCCCTCATGGGCTCAACACACCCAAGATCTGCTTATGCATTTTTCCTGCAAAGCTGCTCTATGAACCCTGCACTGGAAAAGGGCCCAGGTCTCCAGAAGAGAACAGAAAGGAAGCTGTATTGGTCAGCTTTCCATTGGTGGGACAATCTCAAGGAGAATAGATTTTATTTTAGCTCATGGTTTCAGAGGTTTCAGTCCACGTTTGGCTGGCTCCAAGGCAGAAACATGGCAGAAAGGTATGGGGGACGAATGCTGCTCACTTCATGACAGCTAGAAAGACAGAAACAGCCAGGAAGGAAAAGGCTGGGGGCCGAATGTAGTTCTCAAGATCATACCCCCATGACCCACCTGGACGATCACTAGTGTGCTTTTCTAATCTCCTAGGTATCTCTGAAGCCAGTCAAATTGATAACAAGGTTAACTGTCACAGAAGTTAAATGATGACTCACAGCGTGGTTCAGAGGCTTCTGCAGCTAGTTCCACCTACTCTGTGCAGCTCATTCTTTCTGTTCCATGATGGATATTCAGTGAGTTGCTCCCCATAGCTGCTGACATTACACACCACGACCCACTCACTGGGCCTGGCAAAACTAAAGCTTGTGACCAGAATGTACATTATGGTTTTGAAAAATCAATAAGTAAAATCATATATAAGTAGGGAATTTTTAAATATATGTATATTTATATGCATATGTGCATTAAATAACTGGCATGATGAGAAAACATCAGAATTTCACTGGGGTATATAGAAGGGTTAAGTAATATCCTTTTTCTGGATGAAATGACCATCTTAATCCTTCAATGCCTAGTATTCCATTTTCAGAACATGGAACATAATAAAATTTTTTCTCTTAAAATTCTTATTCCTTGAGGTTTTTTTGGTGTGGGGGGGGTTGCATAAACTTAAGATGTTTATTAGATAGATTAAATTATATCATAAAAACAAAATAAAATGACAATATGATAGGTAGAAGGTGCTAGGTTATGAAAGTCTGTGAGGTCAAAGGACTTTGGGCTCCATGATTTTTTTTGAGCTTATGTTAGTATTTAGAATGGAATGCTTAAATGACTTGAAAATACAAATTAAAATGGATGAGAAGAAAGTAGAAGCAGATAAAGACAGGGAATTGGTATGATTTCTAGATTTTAGTAATAAGAATATCACATTCTTTAGTTATAGGCTTCTGAGTAAAAGAAAAGAAACTCTAGATCAAATTCTCCTATCAAAATGAAGCAAATGCCCAGGAGTAGCATGGGTTCATGTTTGGTAGGTTCGGAGGCCAGTGAGAATACTCAAAGACAGTGCCTCTGCTGTCCACTATGGGTGATGAAGCAAGATGGTCCCAGGCCAGCCTGTCTCCTGGTAGAGAGATGCTGCCCACAACAACAGAGGATTATTGTGACCAAAACACCCCTCTCCTTTTGAGCACAAATGTCACTCTCTTCCTTCCCATCAGTTACTTCATCTTAGGTCACATATTTTACCCATGGACAGAGTGGGTCCTCACAGCAAAATACTACAGTGTAGGCTCCCTGCTCAAGTGAGACAAAAGAGGCATGTAATGTCCCTACAACAAATCCAAAGAAAGAATTGACAAGCATTAGAGACCATCAGGAACAATGGAAAGAGGATCAATACTCATAAAGAAACAGCTATCACTCAGCACGTTATATTCCATTCCTTGAATTTTTTGAGGGAACATATATGAGTTTTATGCAAAAATTTAAAATTTTTTTATTTTTGGCTTAAATACATTAATGTGTTTAGCTCCAGAATTAATTTATAAACAGTACAGTTCTTTAGAAAATTTCCTTTGAAAAATAGTTAAGCAATTCTGCAGTTTATTTGGATGAGAATGTAGATGAGAGTGATCAATAAATATTTGGAAAGGATGAGTTAGGAAGCATAAATGCACTGATAGATATTAAAACGTCTAACATACTGACATTATGAAATGGGAGGAAAGTGGCTAAAGGTGTAGGGAAGGTGAGATGGGTAGGGGAAAGGTAATAAGGGAAAAGAAAAAATGTGAGATAATGAAAAGATGGAAATAAAGTGTTTGTAGATGGGGAGGGGAGGGGGGGTGAAGGGAGGGCAGGGACAAGGGGAAAAAATGAGAACCAAGACCTGTCATGTAGAGGTACAAGAGCCCAACAATGAATGTAACTGTACTGTATCCCTAAAATATACCAATAAACTCAAAGAAAAAAAAACTTCTAACAAACTGATGACAGTTAAAACTAGAACATGCTTATGAGAACAGTAATAAATAATAGTTGAAAGTAGAAGCAGGATATAAAACTGAAGAGATACTAAGACATGTTGAAGTTTTGTGTCTTATAAAGGTGAATTTTAATAATTTTCCAAAATATTTGGTTATTCATTTTTTAAAAATTCCTGCTCATACAATACAAAAAGTTCCAGAACTAAACATTAAACAATGAAACTAAAATTAATTAGAATAATTATCGAAAAATATTTCAGAAAAATTCAAGAGAGCCTTCATAAACTCATTGAAAGGTAGATAACATGAATACAGAAACTTTTCAATAGACAACCTGAAAATAATTTAGTAACTGTTCATGGCAATGTCCTACCATTGATAAGTCCATCTGAGGAAAATATATTCAATATATACAAAGAGTTTATTTCCTTACTGTATAAAGAGTCTTACAATTCATTAAGAAAAACACCTCATGATAGTTTCCTGTGGCTGCCCGACAAATTACCACAAACTGAGTGACTTCAAATACAGAAATTTATTCTCTCACGGTTCTGGAGGCCAGAATTCCAAAATCCAGATGTTAGCAGGGGCACATTTCCTCTA